CTACAATAAATCAAAAAATCAGCCAGGCATGGTAGCACATGCCTGTAATTCCGGCTACTTGGAAGGTTGAGGCGGAAGGATCGCCAGAGCCCAGCAGGTCGAGGCTGCGGTGGCCGGGAGCGGCCACTGCACTCCAGTCTGGGTAACAGAGTGAGACTCCAACTCAAAAAAAAAAAAAAAAAGAAATGCAGATTCTCAGACCTAACCAGGACCCACTGAACCGCACTCAAGTTAGAGAACCACTGCACCAGGGATTGCAAATTGGGCATTTAAAAATTGTAACTCTTTACTTAATTGCAGGAATTCTGTGAGAAGTTTTTCCTCATCAACTAGGTTGCCCTGAATTGCAATTTGTAAAGGAAAGGCAGGATGATCCATTTTCAGTATTAGGTATTAGTGCCCTGATTACCTCCAAGAGTGACCAATTAGGTTTTTGTGTGGTTTGGCTTTCTTCATCATGAATTCATGGTTTGTATTCAGCACTTCAGTAAGAGTCATTGTTTGACCCTTAAACAGGAGCCCCTTCCCATAGACTCTCATGCTCCCTGCAGCTTTGGTGACTTTCCTTGATTGCTGGCTCTGATCACCATTTCAGCTCATCTTGAACCTGCCCCCACCCAGAATTAGCAATTCCAAGAGGCCCTGGTTTCTTCCGGTGGGGAGTGGCATTGGAGCCACAATCTAGGTGCATGGTGTGTCCACTGCTACTGCGCAGACCAAGAATGGTGAGAGACAGGTCTGGCTCTGCCACCAAGCTGCAGGGCTATGGTGCAACCATAATTCACTGCAGCCTCGGTCTCCTGGGCTTAAGGGATCCTCCCACCTCAGCCTCCTGAACAGGTAGGACTGTAGGGCATGAGTCACCATGTCCCGCTAATTTAAAAAAAAGGATTTTGGAGAGATGAGGTCTCACTGTGTTGCTCAGTCTGGTCTTGAACTCCTGGCCTCAGGTGATCTTTCTGCCTCAGTCTCCCAGTTTTGGTATTACAAGCGTGAGCCATGTGCCTTGCAAGGAAATGTGTATTTTTGAAAAGAACAAAGGATTTTACACTTACATTTCTATTTCAAGTTTAATATAGGGGTTTTTACCTCTGATTTTATTCCTTTTTTGTTCTCAGAAAACTTTTTTTTGAGATAGGATCTCGCACTGCCACCCAGGCTGGAGTGCCGCGGCATGATGCCGGTTCACTGCAGCCTCAATTTCCTGGGCTCAAAGCAATCCTTCAGCCTTCCAACTAATTGAGACTACAGGCACACACCACCATGCCCAGCTAATTTTTGTGTTTTTTGTAGGACAAGGCCTCACTATGTCGCTGGTCTTGAATTCCTGGGCTCAAGTGATTCTCTAGTCGCAGCCTACCAGAATGCTGGTTTTACAGTCATGGGCCTCTGCATCTGGCCCTCATAAAAATCTTAGTTTTAACATTAACATAACTCATTATTAGTTTTAACCCACACGATGTTTGTTGTTTTTTTTTTGTTTTTGAGTTGGAGTCTCACTCTGTCGCTCAGGGTGGAATGCAGTGGCACGCTCTCGGCCAAGTTGCCCGGGCAGGTCTCCAACCCGCGGGCTCAGGCAATTCACTCACCTCAGCCTCCCAAAGTGCTGGGATTACAGGCTGAGCCACTGAGTCCAGCAACCCACACTTCAAAGGATTAATGCCACTATGACTAGTAAAGAGATTAGGATTTCTTAGTGGCTCCACTTGTCTTTAGACCATAGTTCACTACATTTGCACACCCCAATTACAATGTTCTAATTTCCTGTAGGATTGTCACCCATTTCATGTACAATTGGGTTGTAGGGGCTCCTGATGCTGCACGACTCAGCCAGTCCCAGGCCACCCCGATTTGTACTGGCTTTCGATGCCACAAGCACCTGGACTGCCTGGGGGCTTTCTCGGTGGTAGCAGTGTGGCCTGGACCAGGCTGGGAGTGCCTGCAGTGGACACCCCTGACCCTGTGGAACACAAGCTGGTGGAGGAACACACCAGCTCCCTTGCCCTGCAAGTGTGACAGACTCCGTGAGCATAAGCCCGGCTGCCACTCCCACTTCCTGTCCACCCTGCTACGGATCACTTCCACATTCCTGCCTCAGAGTTGGTGTCGGGAATCCAATCCAAGGCAGGTAGGTTCATTCATTTCAGATTCTGTTTTTCTATTTCAGGGATTGTCTTTAAAAACTGCAATAAATCAAAAAGTCAGTCGGGCGTGGTAGCACATGCCTGTAATTCCGGCTGCTTGGAAGGCTGAGGTGGAAGGATGGCCGGAGCCCAGCAGGTTGAGGCTGCGGTGGCCGGGAGCGGCCACTGCACTCCAGTCGGGGCGGCAGAGTGAGATGAGACTCCAACTCAAAAACAAACAAACAAAAACAAACAAACAAAAAACTCTGTTAACATGTACAACATTGACATGACTTCTAAGCCCAAAGTATTACTTCCTAGTTGGTCTCACTTCCACTATTGTCCTTGTCCTCCATGGCAGCCACTTCAGTTTTTATCTTTCTTGTTTTAAGAAAAAGAAAGTAACTATGCATTTACATTGCATCACATACACTGCTCTGCCCTGCATCCACCGCTCTTCTCCCTTCTTCCAGGACTCAGCTCCCCACTGCATGAATCAGCGTACCTCATCCCCTACCGATGGACATCCACATTGTTTCCAGTATCACAAATGCTATGATGACACACTGTGCATAAAGCCGTTTCATTTCTTTGCGAGTTCCTTTGAGGTAGATTGCTAGAACTGCTTGGTCAAAGGGCAAATGCATATGTAGCTTTGTTAGATGTTGCCAAATTCTTTTCCACAGATGCTGTAACATTCTGCATTCCCGCCAGCAACGTATGAGTTCATGTATCCCACAGCTTCATAAAGGAAGTACGAGGGTACACTTCTGAACGTCTGCCAATCACGTAGGTGAGAAACTATCTTAGTTTCATCTCTTGGTTAGTGTTTTTTACAGCTTTTTTGCAGTGCAATTAGCAGAAGATAATAAACATTCCATCCACGAGTTTCATCCTGCCCCTTCGCCATGGCCTCCCACTCCCACCCTGTCTACAGGGAACCACTGACCTACTTTCTGTCATCATACATTAGTTTGCATTCTCTAGACTTTATGTAGTGGAATTGCACAGTATCTACTCTTTTTATCTGGCTTCTCTTACTCAGCAGAATGACTCTGAGGCTCATTCACACTGCTGCGTGTGCCATACGTTCAATCCTTTTCACAGCTGAGGCGTGTTTTATTTTTTACATGGTGGTGGTGGTTCCTGTATGTGATGTGTTGTTTTTCTCTAGCCAGCAAAACAGCAACAGACTATTTCAAAAAGAAAAAGAGCTACATGTAATATACAAATATATATTACTTATATAAATATGTGAAAAAGCTAAATATAATATATAAATATATATTTACGCCGGGCATGGCAGCTCACACCTGTAATCCCAGAACTTTGGGAGGCCGAAGTGAGAGGACTGCCTGAGTCCATGGGTTCGAGACCAGCCTGGGCAACTTGGTGAGACCTTGTCTCTACAATAAAACAAAAAATTAGCCAGGTGTGGGGGCGTGTATCTGTAGTTCCAGCTACTTGGAAATCTGAGGCAGAAGGATCACCTGAGTCCAGCAGGTTGAGGCTGTGGTGGCTGTCCATGTGCCACTGCACTTTAGCCTGGGTGACAGAGTAAGACTCCAACTCAAAAAAAAAAAAAATGTATATTTATATAAATATGTGAAAAAGCGAAATGTAATAGATAACTAACTCAAACTTCTTGATCATTTCTGGTAGCTTGGTAGACTTCTATTAATCTTTTATGGTGTCATTTCTAGTAAAGGACCTAAACAGATGCTGGCTCTGTGTTTACCACACCTAGATGTTTCTAAGCAATTTTTTTTTTTTTTTGAGTGGAAGTCTCACTGTCGCCCGGGCTGGAGTTCAGTGGTATACTCACGGCCACCACAGCCTCAACCTGCTAGGCTCACGTGATCTTTCTGCCTCAGCCTTCCAAGTAGCTGGAACTATAGGCACGCGCTACCACGCCTGGCTTATTATTTATTTATTTATTGTAGAGACAAGGTCTCACCAAGTTGCCCAGGCTGGTCTTGAATCCCTGGGCTTAGGCAATCCTCTCACCTCAGCCTCCCAAAGTGCTGGGACTACAAGCTTGAGCCACCATGCCCAGCCTTCTACCTGATTTTAAAGCCCCCCCATTACTCCGTTTTAATGTCGTTTACATCCTAACCTTCTCCAAAATCTAGCCCAACACCAGGCACAAAGAAATAAATAAGGAATTCAACACCTGAAGAACACAGCTATTGCTGAGCATTGGATATGAAGGAAAGCATACTGTCTGTCCCTACACTCTGGCCTCTGTGTGGTTCCTTCCCAGGTGAATGCCTGCAGTGGCTATGGTTTTCAAATGCAAAGTTAACACAAGGCAGCCTGCCTTGCCTTAGGAAAAGTTTTTCTCCTTTTTTTTTGAGTTGGAGTCTCACTCTGTCACCCAGACTGGAGTGCAGAGGCTGCTCCTGGCCACTGCAGCCTCGACCTGCTGGGCTCCAGAGATCCTTCCACCTCAGCCTTCTGAGTAGGAATTACAGGCATGTGCTACCACGCCCGGCTGATTTTTTGATTTATTGTAGAGATGAGGTCTCGCCAAGTTGCCCAGGCAGGTCTCGAACCCGGGAGCTCAGACAATCCACTCATCTCAGCCTCCCGAAGTGCAGGATTACAGGCTGAGCCACCGAGCCCAGCTGGAAAAGTTTTTCTTACCAAAAGACACTTAGAGAACACCTCCGATGTAAAGGACTCATTTACTCCCATGTCAGTTCATTTGGTGTTGGTTATTTCAGTAACCGAGGACACATGCTCACTCACCTAGTTAACCATCTGCTAAGGACAAGGAGGAAATGTCAGTTTTCTTCATCTGCTGTCAAGCACCAAACTTTTTTTTAGCTAAAGTCAAACAGTGTAATGTTTTAAATGGATTTAGAAATAAAAGTCTGTTAATTTCTTTTATTTGGGAACTGTGCAGTTTTATCATTTCACAAGAACGAAGCAGGGGACAAAAGGAAGTGCAGCACTCCTTAGGTGTTGGGTTCCTGGCAAGTCGCGGGCCGATCTCTATGCAAACAGACTCCTTATTCCCTAGAGTGCAGAAACTTACAAAGAAAGTGATGACATGAACACATGCATGAGCTATTATACATAATTACAAGAGCTGATTCTGTAGTCACTATCTCTCATCTCATCAGTAGGAGCGAATGGCCGGGGGGACGGTGGCACAGTCGGCCTCGTTCAATGTTTTGTCGATTACGGGTCTGTACTCCAGAGTGACCTTAAAAAGAGGAGTTGGTGGTAAGTTAGGCACAAAAATGTACAAAAAAGCTTGCTTTTGAGAAAATTTAACTATAAAAGTAGATTTGCAGGCGTGGGAACTTAAAAGGCAGACGTAGTTACTGGAGTATTTTTCTTTTTCTTTTTGTTGGAGTCTCACTCGTTACCCAGGCTGGAGTGCAGTGGTACGTTCACGGCTACCGCAGCCTTAACCTCCTGGGCTCAGGTGATCTTTCCACCTTAGTCTTCCAAGTACTGGAACCACAGGTGCATGCCACCATGCCCAGCTAATTTTTTTTGATGTATTGTAGAGACAAAGTCTTGCCAAGTTGCCCAGACTGGTCTTAAACCCCTGGGCTTGAGGCAATCCTCTTGCCTCTGCCTCCCAAAGTGCTGGGATTACAGGCATGCACCACCACACCCAGCTGGAGTATTTTTCAAAGACAAACTTGAAAATGATGTGCTTGCACAACAGGGAACTGGCTATGTGAATGAGGATAAACCTGTACGGAGGGACAGAGCAACTAAAATAACATCGTACAAGATGCTTAATGCTTCACAAAAATGCTTGCAGGAAACTGTATATGCCATCATAATTTATTTTAAACTACACTTTTTAAGTTTCTCTTCTTTTGTATGGTTTTTCCACTTAAGAGTATTCATACAGGCTGAATATCCCTAATCCAAAATCCAAAATGCTCCCGAATCGGAAACTTTCTGAGCACTAACATGACACTCAGAGGAAAGGCTCATCGGAGTGTTTCAGGCTGCAGATACTCAGATTAGGAGTGCTGAACCAGTAAGTGTAATGCCAGCATTCCAAAATTTAAGAAAAACCCGCAATCTGAAACACTTGTGGTCCCAAGCATTTCAGATAATGGAAGCTCAACCTGTATACATAAATATGTACACACACAGGAAAAAGTATGTATAGATACACATAAAACTTCAAAATATTTCAAAATGAAAATGTTATCTCTGACTGGTGGGTTCTTATTTTGTTCTTTTTTACTTCCCAAAATGAGTATACATTTCTTTAACTATCACAAAAGACCCCAAACATTAAACATAGGATTGTGCTAATAGGGGGAAGTTCGACTTCTATATCCTATCAGAAAATAGCCTTCATGATAAATTCTGAAAATGACTGCCTGAATTAAAGGCATGCTAGGCACTCTCTAATATGAAGTGATGATGACAGAGTTCACTGTAACTTCTGTAGACACAGACAAATAATTAGACTCTGACAAGCTATGAAAAGTTTAAGGGTGAAAGCTTTCTATCTTCATTATTTCTGAGTCTTAACACCCAGCAAAAATGTCCAACGGGCGAATTCAGTGGAACAAGAATGCAACCCCCTACTGCAGTCTCAGCTACTGCAGTCTCAGCTAGTTGTCCCCAGTATGTTGCCCATCCCACCACTCAAACTCTGCCCTTCTCTGCTCTGTGCCCAGGATACTAAGGGCTGCACAGGTCCAACCAATGGTAAGAGAGAGGAGGGGTCTCTTTCCGGCTCCCTTGGCTGCAGACAGGCTTCTGGTAGTGGTCGTGTGTCTCTACCCCAAAAATATGGCTTCTGCTGGGCTCCACACTCACCATCTCCTCCCCTGCCATCAGGCCTCAGACACCTGCTCCCGGCTCTGCGACCTCCCTGGCCCTTCCTTGAGGCTCCTCTGAACTCCCCGAAGGCACGGGATTATTTCTAGCCAGAAGCCTGACTGACATAATGTCTTTCTCAGCAGCAGCTTAAATCTGTCCACAGTGGATTTACACCTGGACTGCTTCTCCCAGCTCACCATCACCAAGGCCAGAGGACAGAACTGGGTGGAACAGCATGGGCGCTGAGGCACCATGAGAACAAGCTCCCCACTTACTTTTCCAGTGTTGACATCCACATAGGAGAGGGTATGCTTCCTCCAGTGCTCTCCAAAGGGCTTCTTCTGCTGCCCCTGAATGGGCTTGGAGTAGTCATACTCATCAATCCGCACCTGAGGCCAGATATACCATCACATCACATTTCTTACTACTCTAACAGTCACATAAACAGAAAACATGGCAAACATTACAATGCTACACAGAGACCAGCCTCACACGCCCTAGAACTCATTCCATTTCCACATCAGCACACGAGGTTGGCAACATCTCCCATTCGGAACCCATCGAGGCTACAGGGCTGGTCAGCGGGTCAGCAGCCAGCAGCCAGAGTGAACCATTTCGCCATTTCCCCTTAGACATCCTTTACGTACCTAAAAGTTTATCAGATACTTTGTCTTTCTGCTCCAACTTTGGGAGGTTGCACCTCAGCTTTTTCTTTCAGTTTGTTTTTATTTAAAAGTTCTAATTTTAGCAACTACATCAAAATGTTCAAAAACTCTTAAAGAGAAGCTGAACAGTATTAAGGAAAATCCTGCATGTAGTAATGGATGAGACATGTGAGGTCTCGTCAAATAAAAACCGTTTCTGCTGAGTGAAGAGGGTAAGAGGGTGGGCAGAGGCGGCCTGTGGGGCTACAAAGTGGCCTCTAACTTAGACCCATGCAACTATGGGACAAGCTCTCCTAGGGTAGGCAGCTCCAACCTGCGAATCTGCTGTAACTGACTGAGATGAGACTCACGTGCCTCAGCTCTGAGGACAGCCAACCCTGGAGAAGCACCGACCCTTCAGTCTACACCACAGACTGGCTCACCAGGCTCTTCCTCTACACTGACTACCAGGCAAATCCTATCTAGTCCCAGTTGGTGGAGAACAAATCAGTAAAATTTCATAGTAAATAAAAATCTGATTTTCCGTACCCCTGTGTTCAGCTGACTGGAAAGGCTGCCACCAGCAACCCACAGTCCATCCTGAACCAGACTGTGTGTCTGCCCTGTGGAAGATCTTTATCCTTTTGCTGATATGGTTTATCCTGAACTTGTACTTGCACCCCAAGCTTCCCTTTCTGTGTATTTTGCTATCACATGCTAAAAGCTCTTGTCTGCCAGAATCTGACACGTATGCTCTGCCCAAAAATCAATTTATCTGGAAAACAAGCGACAAACAATTAGGATCTATAATACCTTTTCCAAACCATGGGGGCAGGTGTAAAATGATGATTTTTAATTCAATAAACCAGCATTCAATGGCACTCTGGCTGCACTTCTAGCCCCAGTCCTTGTAAGAACAGGCACATTTGCTCAAAGGCTGCTGTTGGCAGCAGTAGACACTGATCCAAAGCAAAAAAAGGGCACACTGATGCTGAAGACGGTGAGAGAACAAATGGTGGAAGTTGTCAGAAAAAGGAAGCATTTCTTAACATTTACTTTTGGGACAATGGAATGAAATGCAGAGAAAGGGCAGGGATGGTGCTAGTGACACGTGGGAGGAGACGGCAGTGGCCCACGGGGCATGATACGAAGACGCACCTTGTAGTCCTCCCTGGCATGAGCACCCCGTGACTCCTTCCGCGCCTCTGCTCCGTAGATGGTCTGCAGTGCACACAGCATCAGGTTTTGCAGCTCCAGGGTCTCTACCAGGTCCGTGTTCCAGACCATTCCTGGGACACACAGATTCCATGAGGGGCAGGACCATCACACAGGGACTCCAGGCTGTCACCGTGGGCCTGCCAGCACGGACCACTGGTGTGGCTGTGTACTGCAGGCCAGGGCCCACCCAGACAGCAGGCACAGAACCAAATCAGTGCTATACAGGACAGACACCCACCCGCCCTGCAGGCACCCCTGATGCTCACCCCTGTCAAACGTCTTCAAGTGCTTCAGGTCTCCATAGAGCTGGCTGATTTTCTCACAGCCTTCCTGCAACACGCTTCCCACACGGAACACTGCCGCATGATTCTGCATTGACTGTGACACAAAATACCATTTTTTTTTTTTTTTGAGTAGGAGTCTCACTCTGTCTGTAGTAGCATGCTCACAGCCACCATAGCCACAACCTGCCAGGCTCAGGCGATCCTTCTGCCTCAGCCTTCCAAGTAGCTGGAACTACAGGCATATACCACCACACCCAGCTAATTTTTATGACTTATTGTAGACACAAGGCCTGGCTGTTCTGTAGATGCTCCTTGTATAATGAAGCTTCTTCACAATTTTATTGTGCACGCTCACAAGAAATGTGCTAAGAAACAAACTTGAAGATTATTGTAGGTTTGCTGAAGGATCACACATCGACCTGTTTCCTATCAAATAGGTCTTTCCACTCACTCACTGTCAAGAAACCCTCTATTTATTTATTTATTTAATTTTTTGAGTTGGAGTCTCACTCTGTCAACCCAGACTGGAGGGCAGTGGCACACTCACGACTACTGCAGCCTCGGCCTCCTAGGCTCAGGCAATCCTCTCACCTCAGCCTCCCAAAGTGCTGGGATTACAGGCTTGAGCCACTGCGCCCAGCTTAACAGTTTTTCAGGAAGAAAAGGAACACAATTACATCTAACCCCACATCTTAGAAAATAAAAAATTGTTTAAAATTACATCTAAGAATTACATCTAGCTGGGCATAGTGGCTCACACCTGTAATCCTAGCATTTTGCAAGGCAGAGAAGAGAGGATTGTCTGAATTTGGGGGTTTGACACCAGCCTGAGCAACATGGTGAGACCTTGTCTCTACAGTAAATCAAAGCTACTTGGAAGGCTGAGGTGGAAGAATCACCTGAGCCTAACAGGTAAAGGCTGCTGTGGCCGTGCGTACTCCAGCCTGGGTGACAGAGTGAGACTACGACTAAAAAAAAATTACACCCAAGAACAGCCTTTCACATCCTTTAGCAGTCATGTATTTTTTCTTTTTGAGTTGGAGTCTCACTCTGTCACCCAGACTGGAGTGCAGTGGCCGCTCCCGGCCACCGCAGCCTTGACCTGCTAGGCTTCGGCGATCCTTCCACCTCAGCCTTCCAAGTAGCTGGAACTACAGGCGCGCGCTACCACACCCAGCTAATTTTTTTGATTTATTGTAGAGATGAGGTCTCGCCAAGTTGCCCAAGTGAGTCTCGAACCTGTGGGCTCAGGCAATCCACTCACCTCGGCCTCCCAAAGCACGGGATTATAGGCTGAGCCACCTAGCCTGGCATATATTTTTTTCAAATCTCCTTCTAACATATTTCTGTTATTCAAGTCATTTTACATTTTGTAGCTATAAGGTGACTGAGATGTTTACTGACTTCTGAGCAGATTACTACTGGCATATGGAAAAGCTACTGGTTTTTATATACAAATCTTTTATCTAGACACCTTACTACTTTCTTTTTTTTGTTTCTATTAGTTTTTCAGCTTATTCTCTTGTAATTTCTGGGAAATGGTATCTGCAAACAATTTTATCTATTCCTTTTCAATACACAGCTCATTCTTTTTTTGATTCTGACTATATTAGCTGGAGTCAGCAGAAAAATCACTTCCCCTACTGAAATGCATATTCCATAAGTGCAAGCTGACTCTAGCACCTTATGAAGTTCGGCACACAGGCACCAAGACACGCCGTGCTGGTGGGAGAGTCTCTAGCATTCCCATTTCCATCTCCGAAGGCAGGTTCCCCTCCTCTAATGCCACGATTCCACTGTCCTCAAGGGCCTCCAACACTACAAAAATCCTGCCTGGCAGCCCTCAACCTTCCATGCTTCACTCAAGCTACTCTTCTCATCATTCCACAGAGTCTTCCTAAAGCCCAGCCTCACTCAAAGACAGAAGCACACAGGCCCCTGAAAATGGCAGCAGGTAGCCGTTGTTCTGGAGGGGTCTGTGTATACGTGCCACCGGACACCTTTCAGAATATGTCTAAAGCAATAGGGCTTCTTTTTAGAAAATACTCACATGCAGAAATGCTTGCAAATCATCTCAAGTAGACAGAACTCTCATTCATGGAGAAGAATCTCTGTATCAGAAGAGTTTGCTTCCTGTTTTATTTATTGTTCTTATCGAGCTAAACTTTACCCAATGGACTGACACTAACTATATGTAGCTACTTCTATTAAAACTAAAGAAAATTAATATTAATAATACTGGCTGTAGTTCAAGAGCTCCACAGCCACCTGTGGCTAGTGGCTACCACACACCGGACAGCAGAGATTGAGAACTTCTCCAACATCACAAAAGTCCTGCTGGACAGTTCTGATGTGGAAGGCCAACTCTCGGATGGCACATGCTGCACAGATCAGTTTCCACACAGCCTGTTCTCCGCCTTGTCTGAGACACTTAGGGGCAGCAATAGACCCAGTTTAAAGACATTTCCAGCCGGGCTCGGTGGCTCAGTCTGTAATCCCGCGCCTTTGGGAGGCTGAGGTGAGTGGATTGCCTGAGCCCGCGGGTTTGAGACCCGCCTAGGCAGCGAGACCTCATCTCTTCAATAAATCAAAAAATCAGCCGGGTGCGGTAGCACATGCCTGTAATTCCAGCTACTTGGAAGGCTGAGGCAGAAGGATCGCTAAAGCCCAGCAGGTCAAGGCTGCGGTGGCCGGATGCGGCCACTGCACTCCAGTCTGGGCGACAGAGTGAGACTCCAACTCAAAACAAACAAAAAAAAAGACATTTCCGAGTTGCCAGAAGCTAGGCATGATCATGTGACTAGTGTCTGCTGTCTGGGCACGAGCTGTAAGCATGAATGTCGTGTAGAATTCAACCTGCTGAGATGAAGCAGCCCCAGCTGGGGACTGAGCTCCTCTGGTGTCTCTCAGCTCTTCCTCCTTCAGGCTGCAATTAATCTATGATAAGTGACAGTCTGAGGACAGAAGTCACGCTCAAGCACACATGAGTGAGCCAAGGAGAGCTGTCTATGATGCCACCCAGTCGTTGATTCTGCCCTGGACTGTCGATCTCCAGCCTTCTATGTGAAAAAGAAGTGCACGTCCATCTAATTAAGGCCCCTGGCCTTTTCCAAATTCTGACTTGATATAGCCAGGGGTACGCCCTACTTCTGTTGACCTCTAGCTACCAGTATAGACTCGTATGTTTACTGCAGCACTATATACAACAGCAAAACTGTGAATCACTCACAAGTGGGAGCTAAACAATGTGTACACATAGACACACAGAGACTACAAAATGTGAGAATGTGGTGAGGGAAGGGTACCTATCGGGCAGAGTACACGCTATTCAGGTGACGGCTACACTAGAAGTCCAGACTTCACCACTACACAACAAATGCATGAAACAAAACTGCACTCGAACCTCCTAAATCTATATCACACACACACACACACACACACACACACACACACACACACAACACACTCCCCAGTACGGGACCAGCCACGCAGCCAGCATCTATTTACTCCAGGGCGAGTCCAGGTTCTTACCTTCTGCATGTTAAGTCGTAGTTCCGATGTTCTTATGCTTCCTTCAGCAAATCTCAATTTGTCAAGATTCATGACAGATTCTTCCCCAGCATTTGGTTTAATTGGAGGAACTTTATCTCCTAAAAAAAAAAAAAAAAGCCAGAATTCAACCTTTGAAAAACATTTTGAAAAACCAAATGGATTTAGAATGACCCACACATGTGTGTCACAGCCGTACAAGGAGTTTGGAAAACGCAGATGTAACCTGAGCCATACACTGGCTGGCCTGCCCTGTACCTAGGGAAGAGCCTCTCGGCTCAGAGCCAGTTTCAAAGAATACACATAAAGATGGAATTAAGCCATCTTGGAATGAACAAACTAGATATCTAAAATTAAAGACTTAAATATACACAAACGGTCCTTGCACTCGGACAAACGGGAGAAATGACATTCTCCTGAGAGTGGTCCCAAGGGTCGGCCACACCCCACTGTCCCTAGGCTGCACAAACAAGGGAGGTGGCTGCTGTGGTCTGAAAGTCTGGTCCTAAACCTTGCCTGCTCCTCCTTATCCTTCAAGATTTGCAGCTCTCTTTTCTAAAACCGTATTTTGGGGATGAAAAAAAAATTTTTTAAATGACATTTTAAAAAAGTATTTTCTTTAGCAGGCAGTACATGCAGGAGGAGAGAGGCATGGAATTCAAGAGACAGGGCCAGGCACGGTGGCTCAGCCTGTCATCCAAGTAATTCGGGAGGCCGAGATGAGAGGACTGCCTGAGCCTGCGTGTTTGAGACCCACCTGGACAACTTGATGAAACCTCATTTTTACAATAAATAAAAAAAAATTAGCCAGGCGTGGTAGCGCACGCCTATAGTTCTGGCTACTTGGAACGCTGAGGCGGAAGGATTGCCGGAGCCCAGCAGGGCGAAGCTGAGGTGGCTGGGAGCGTGCCACTGCCCTTGTCTGGGCGACAGAGTGAGACTCCAACTCAAAAATAAATGAATAAATAAATAAACTCATCATATTTAGTTAGGGTTTTTCAAGTTGTGGCAAAGACAAAGCTGTATTTAAGTTCTAGCACCATCGGGATACAGCCCCTGGCAACCACTGTAGGGAAGACCTATTTTCTTCCCTAGAGTTTGCCTTTTCCAGAATGTCACATGAAAAGAATCACATGTGTGTGGCATTCTGCATCTGGCTCCATAGAATACTGCAAGAGTTATCTGTATGTGTAAGCAGTTAGTTCCTTCTTACTGTTGAGTAAAAGTGTTTGCAGAACTCTCAGACATAAAAGCATAAGAAATTCTCACTGCTACAAAGTGCAGGTTACCAAGTAAGATGAGCATGTCCAGGGTGTCAAGAAAGGTGGACCTGAACCTTTGCCAATGACCAGCAATGACTTGGGACAAGGAACAGCCTCCGCATGTGCTGGCCTCCTGAGCTGCAGTCAGATCCAAGACAGTGCTTGAAGCTTAGCCTACACTTTTCATTATCTGTATCTCTCTAGGTAGTATAAAAGGGGTATGTTAATTAGTAAAGACTGTGCTAGTTTCTTCACTTGAATCCATACAAAAGCATTTGTTTATGAAAACAGTAGAAATGATTCTAAACATTTAACACCAGTGACATGCAATGGGAAGAATATGGGACTGAGCGTCCCACCATCCTTGCCAGGAAATGTTCACCCGTGCCTTGTCCACCTCACACTGTTCTGAGCAAATAAGGCTGATGACCACCATAAAGACCCCCGGAAGGCCAAAGCAACGGTAAGCATCCTGTCCTTAGTCTATATAAGTAGATTCATACTTCTAGCACATGCTATTTTTTTTCTGCTGAACATTATTTTAAGCTACCACAAGAAGAAAACCACCAGCTGAAATCCATTCTACCACTGATGGGTGGGAACCATGGCCCAGTCCTTTGTTTGCTTTAGGTATCCCTTCTCCTATAATATAGGTTAATTATACTTTGTTTTCAGCGTGACCTACATTATTTTTCTATAAGCACCAAAATTTTATCTATTCATTTATGCCTACTATTTAAAACATTTCATTGCAAATAATTTTTATCAGGCAAGTTCTATGTCTTAAACTCCCCCTCAAAATAATAGTTTCCTAACAGTGTCTTTACTAAGCGGAACATAATGATTACAAAAAAAAGGTCCCAAAACGTTTACCTTAACTGTTAAGACCTCCTCCAGCTTGTATCTAGTCTCAGCATTACCACCACATAATCGCTGGGTTTCCCTCAGATTCCTCTCTTCCAGGGGAAAAAGAAAAAAATAACAGACTACCTCTACATGATCACTAAGCACACTTCCAACAACAAATCAAGATTTTTACAATCTCTTGCCTTCTGCGACAGCCCAACTACTTGGAGAAAATGCTTACCAGGCCTGCAAGACTCTTCGATGCTCAGGGCACATGCCCGGCCAAAGACGACCAGGTCCAAGAGTGAGTTTGCCCCAAGACGGTTGGCACCATGCACTGAGGCGCTAGCAGCCTCCCCGCAAGCATACAGGCCGGGCACGATTTGATCCTGGCCGTTCACATGCCTCAGAACCTGGAGAAAAGAAGATTTCGGGTGAAACGTCAAGGTGCCCATGTCTCCACAGGCCTGCTCCGATGCATGGGGTGTCTGTGCTGTGGGTCTTCACTGTGGGTAAGTGAAGACCTGTCTACTCTGCCTCAGAGGGATCCCTCTAAGTGCATCCTCCAGGTTCCCTCTGACCCTGAACAGTCTGCATCTGCAACTGTCCCCATGCCCCAAGCTCCTGAGGACTTCATCTGCACCAGACTGGACTCCTCTGTGCTTGGCTCTGCAATCCACTCACACTAGAGAGCAGGGCAGGTAAAGGAGCTTTGCAGGGCGACTGAGTGACACTGCAGACCCTCCCACTCATGGCTCATCTGTGCAGGGAGAGTAGCAGTTCCTCCCACCTTGCCTGACCAGGAGCCGTGGGAGACCCGTGTGAACTGCAGACCATTCAAAGGCATTAACTGTAAAGGTTGCCCGATTTATAAGGCCATTAGAAATAACACGAGGTTGGGCAATCCCTTTGGGTCTCCTTCAACTGTGGGAGCTTTTCTGTCCTCTCAATAAATCCTGCTTTCTTAAAAAAAAAAAGAAAAAGAAAAAATGAAAAGAAATAACATGAGATTCTAAGGGAAAGTAATTATAAAAGAGAAAAACCTGCAAATGATATTATAACTATTTGCTAGGAGGAATTAATAAATTATTAACACCAAAGTGCACTAGGTGTGATGCCTCATGCCTGCAATGGCAACACTTTGGGAAGCCAAGGTAGGAAGACTACTCAGGTCCAGGAGTTTATGATCAGCTTAAGCAACACAGCAAGACCTCGTCTCCACAAAAATAACAATCTTAGCTGGGCATGGTGGCACATCCCTCTGTAGTCCCAGCTACTGGGTAGACAAAGCCGGAGCCAGGAGGCTGCGCCAAAAGGACCCCCTGAGCTGAGAAGGCGGAGGCTGCTGTGCACTGTGACTGTGCCTCCACACCCCAGCCTGGGCGACAGAACGAAGTCCCAAGTCTCCTCACAAAACAACAGCAAAAACACTGTTCAGGAGTGAGTGCACAAACTGGACCATACAACCAATCCTCCTCCGCCCTCCAGCAACAGCAATATAAAGTAAGCGCGTCTACCAGACCCAGCGCCTTCGTGAATAAGACATCTGCTTCCCCTCTAAGACCTGAAAAGACAGCTGTGAGGCAGGCCCCAGTGTTTCTGCCTTCTTTCCCACAGCAGGAGAGGCCCCACCATCGTTACCTGCCCCTTGTAGTTAGTGGGAATGCCGCCCATGTTATAATGCACGGTGGGGAGGACAGGGATTGGCTCCTTGGTGACGTCTACGCCAGCGAAGATCATGGCTGTCTCTGAAATGCCAGGTAGGCGCATGGCTAGCTGCTCAGGGGGCAGGTGGTGCAACTGCAGGTAGACGTGATCTTTTTCAGGGCCACAGCCTCTAGCAAAACAGAACATCACAACATAAGGCAAACAACAGTAACTGTAGAAAATCAAGAATAAGATATCATTAAAGCATGTGAATATCAACATTTTTAGACACCGAAGAAAATCTCCCTTCATTTATGGTGACTCTCTCATCAAACCTTTCCTCAGCGTCTAAGGGTGTGCCAGGGAAAAGCCTAAGTGCTGGGACACACCCAGAAGAGGAATAAAAACCTTGCCCTGGACTGGCGCGGTGGCTCATGCCTATAATCCCAGCACTCTGGGAGGCCGAGGAGAGAGGACTGCCTGAGCCCAGGGGTTCAAGACCAGCCTGGAAAACTTGGTGAGACCTCATCTCTAAAATAAATTTAAAAATTACCCAGGCGTGGTGGCGTGTGCCTGTAGTTCCAGCTACTTGGAAGTCTGACGGGGCCATGAGCGTGCCACTGCACTCTAGCCTGGGCGACAGTGAGACTCCAAAACAAACAAAAAAACTACCCTGCCCTCACTTGTCCCAGGGTTCAGACAGCTAAGCTGTGCTTGGCAAAGCATTTGATGCCAAATAGAGCCTGTGGTAGACTGGCTCCAGGACCCTCACGGGTACCAAAATCTGTAGCTGTTCAAGGCCCTGATATAAAATGGGACAGTATTTGCATATGGCCTGTGTATCTCCTCCTGTATGCTTGTTCTAGATTAGTTATACCTACTACATTATAAATGTTAACAGTTGTTAGAATGTATTGTCTAAGGAATAATGACAATGACCCCTCCCCCCAAAAATGTCTGTTATGTATTCAGTAAGGTTGCAATTGTATTTCTTTTTTTTGAGTCAGAGTCTCACTCTGTTGCACAGACTGGAGTTCAGTGGCACGCTCACGGCTACCACAGCCTCAATCTGCTGGGCTCCAGCGATCCTTCCGCCTCACCCTACCAAGTAGCTGGAACTACAGGCACGTGTCACCATGCTCAGCCGATTTTTTTGTAGAGATGAGGTCTTGCCAAGTTGCCCAGGCTGGTCTTGAGCCCGTGGGCTCAGGCAATTCCTCTCATCTCGGCCTCCCAAAGTGCTGGTATTATAGGTGTGAGCCACCACGCCTGGCCTTGCAATTTTATTTCTGAGCTATAGTTGGTTGAATCCAGGAAGTGGAACCCATGGATATGGAGGAACAAATGTACTCCAACAAACCACTTGACTTTTTTTCTTTTGAGTTGGAGTCTTACTCTGTCGCCCAGGCTGGAGTGCAGTGGCACACTCACAGCCACTGCAGCCTCGACCTGCTGGGCTCTGGTGATCCTTCCGCCTCAGTCTTCCAAGTAGCTGGAACTACAGGCATGCGCCACCACACCTGGCTAATTTATCTTGATTTATTGTAGAGATGAGGTCTCGCCAAGTCACCCAGGCTGGTTCCCTCAGGCAATCCTCACTTCGGCCTCCCAAAGTGGTGGGATTACAGGCGTGAGCCAACAAACCTGTCTACCACTTGACTTATTTACGTAAAAATGTAAGACCTCTAAAGGTTTGCATACCAGCAGATATTTAACAAGAGTTTCTACATTAAAAGAACAGGGTCAGGCAACAGCAGAGCTCCAAGCTGTCTTACTGAAAGACAATCCACATGCCTTGGAGGCTGCCAAAGCATCTGCGGGTTATCAATCACAACACCAAAGGGTCACATCTGACTTCAGGCTGGGTGTGTGTCTCTCTCTCCCTCCCACACTAAGTGTCCATCACAAAGTCACTTACACACTCAAACAAATTATGTTCCACAGATATTAGAAAGACTTACATTAAACTGGCTAAAATTCTCAAAATGTAGGTCTCGCACAAGAGTCAGCAGACAGCTGAGATGGGGTGGGGGTGTTGAAACTTTGTAGAGAAGTAATACCAGCCCACATGTTAAGACATGAACAGTCACCAAAGAGGAAGTAAAGGAAAAAGACGGCATGTGTGTGCCCACTCAGACAGCTCTGAAGGTAAATCACACGGACCTTCCTTCGCGGATCTCCAGAGTCATCGACCGAGAAACAACATCCCTGGATGCCAGGTCCTTCGCGACAGGGGCATATCGCTCCATAAACCTCTCACCCTGACTGTTAATTAGAATGCCTCCTTCTCCACGACACCCTTCCGTAATGAGACAACCAGCACCATATATGCCTGCAAAAACAAAATGAACCAAAAAAAAGAAAACCAAAAACATTTATAACCTGACAACTGCTGGATCTCTAGTTCAAATACCTACTTTTTAAAAAAACATTTTTGGAGCCGGGCTCAGTGGCTCAGCCTGTAATCCCGCGCTTTGGGAGGCTGAGGTGAGTGGATTGCCTGAGCCCGCAGGTTTGAGACCGGGCTGGGCAACTTGGAGAGACCTCATCTCTACAATAAATCAAAAATTAGCCGGGTGTGGTAGCACATGCCTGTAGTTCCAGCTACTTGGAAGGCTGAGGCGGAAGGATTGCCGGAGCCCAGCAGGTCGAGGCTGCGGTGGCCGGGAGCGGCCACTGCAACCCAGTCTGGGTGACAGAGTGAGACTCCAACTCAAAAAAAAAAAATTGGAGGGGAAGAGGAAAAAAGCATTATAAACAAAAATGAATAAAAAAAGGAAAAGGTTAAGAAAAAACAGGACGTTTTGATAACAAGAAGCACTGACAAAGCTGAGGGTTGCCTTAGAGGTCTGGGCAGAATGGTGTCCCCCAGCAAGGAGGAAGGACTGCTGTGGGGAGCAGATGGAGCTGGACCTGATTACAGCCCAGTGTATGTCACACGCCTCATATGTTGCTTTAATTTCTGAACATTCTTTTTGCCCTAGGATATTGTGGTGACACAGCAACAAGATTCAATAATTCATACCACAGGTTCAATTATTACTGTTATAATTAACATTTACACTGTACTTGCTATGGACGGTTCTAGTCACTTTACATATATTAACTCATTTAAGTTTTACAACAACCTCAGGTAATGTTATCCCCATTCTTAGACAAGCAAATTAAAGCTTAGTAACACATTCATGGTCATGTGCTGAGAAGGGTAGAGCCCAAGTTCAAACCTGAGCAATATGGTGGTCTACAACTCTATGTCCCTCAATACTATGAAAAACAAGGCATGTCAGGCTCCTGAATTTTTAAGGAGACAAAATAAATAAATAAAATAATAAATAAACACCTAAATGTAATTCAAAAGCTAACATTTGTATTAGCACAACACAAAGGCCATCCCACTTTTAAAAAAGTGATTCTTGCATCTCATCTATCTTTTGGTTTTCCTAGTTTCAATTTTTTCCCCCTTCAGTGGTTTATTTCTCAGACATCAACAAAGCATAAGAAATGGAGCTCTAAATAAATTAAACAATGAATTCAGGATCAGGATTGACATTTTATTAGATAAAAAAGTAATAAAAAAATCAACAAAGATATAATTTATTTTTTATCCCTGCCAGGGATCGGGGGAATACGCTGACAGAGCAAAGATAAAAACCAGCTATGGTTCTTTAGCACCACATGTGGTGTCCCACAGTCCACAGCTCAAGATGAGAGGCACCTCAAATAAGGAGCACATCTGTGTGCGTCTCTGATTTACTTCTGGAAAACCTCCCCCAAACTCAGGACTTTGCCCATCACTTCTGTGTTAATGTCTCCGAATCCCACATTTGTGTCCTCATCCATCTGACAAGCCCAAGGCAGGCTTCCTCCATCATCACGTGGACTGAACCCAACACCCAAATGTCATGGAGAATCTCATCATGGCCGTGTCCTAACTTCACACCCCATGACCAGGAACCCATTTCTCCTTATGAAACTGAAACCTGTCTATGCTGCTTCTCTGGGCTGTTCCCCCTCCTCTCAGGACGTTCACTCAGCAAATACTGACGGAGGTCCTGTTGTGTGCCAGGCACTGGAGCATAGCATAGCAACATACAAGACAGACCTGCCCCAGAGCAGCAAAAGAGAAAAACAATCACTGCTTTACTGCTGACATAAGTACCACCAATGCAAGGTTTAGGGCTCTTGAGGAATGCATAAGACAGAGACCCAATTGTCTTAGGGGAATCCTGGAAAAGTTTTCTTGAGAAAATGCCATTGAAGTTAGGACCAGAGAGACAAGAAATCTGATTGCTGGAAGCGTGTTAGTACATGACAGTGCAGAGCAGTGAGTAGGCACCATGTGCTTACATGACACATGAGCTTGATGCCAGGCAAGGAGTCCTGTCCTACCTGTAGGGTGGAACTGCACAAACTCTAGGTCCTGGCAGGGAAGGCCTGCCCTGGTGACCATGGCCGTGCCGTCGCCAGTGCTGGTGTGGGCAGACGTGCAGCTGAAGTAGGTACGCCCATAGCCTCTAGAAACAACAGAGAGTATTAACTGCAAACAGCGGCCCACACAGTCACAGATGGGTAGAGCAACCGCTAGGCGCCATCTCCTCAGCACCGTTTGCACACGCACATACGTCTCCATGCACACACATTCTATTCAATGCTGAGTGGCCAGTTTGCGGTGCTGCTACCCTGGACAAGTGGGATGGGGAGCCTGGGGATGGAGAAGGGGCTCTTAAATTTGTATTTTAGCTTTGTGCTGCTTTTTAAATGACTTCCTCAGTAAGCATATATTACTTTTATAATAAAAATTTTTCAAGTTTTATGGACTCATATCAATCTCCCCCCTCCCCAATTTTACTGAGGTTTGACTGGCAAATAAAAATTGTAAACATTTAAGGTACACAAGGTGACAATTTGATGTAAGTACATATTGTGACCTGATCACCACAATCAAGCTAATTAACATGTCTATCACCTCAAATGATGACCCCCTCTCTGGTGATGCAGACACTTTAGATCTACTCTCTTAGCAAATTTCAAGTATGCATGATTATTACCATTTTTTTCTTTTTTTTTTGAGTTGGAGTTTCACTCTGCTGCCCAGACTGGAGTGCAGTGGCCGCTCCCGGCCACCGCAGCCTCAACCTGCTGGGCTCTGGTGATCCTTCCGCCTCAGCCTTCTGAGTAGCCAGAATTACAGGCGCGCGCTACCCCGCCCGCTAATATTTTGATTTATTGTAGAGATGAGGTCTCGCCCGCCCAGGCAGGTCTTGAACCCGCAGGCTCAGGCATTCCACTCTCCTCAGCCTCCCAAAGGCGCGGGATTACAGGCTGAGCCACCGAGCCCGGCTTATTATCATTTTTTTCGAGTCAGAGTCTCACTCTGTTGCCCAGGCTGGAGTGCAGTGGCATGCTCATAGCCATCACAGCCTCAACTTGCTGGAACCACAGGCATGTGCCACCAAGACTGGCTAATTTTTCTTGGTTATTGTAGAGACGAGGTCTCACCAAGTTGCCCTGGCTGGTCTCGAACCCCTGGGCTCAGGGAATCCTCTTGCCTTGGCCTCCCAAAGTGCTGGGATCATAGGCTTGAGCCACCGCACCCAGTCATATGTATGATTATTAACTGTAGCTACCATGTTATATAATAGATCTTCAGATCTTCAAGTTGTACCTTTAACCAGCATCTCCCTAGTCTGCACACCTTTAGCTCTCTGGCAACCACCATTCTGTTTCTACAAGTCTCACTTTTTTGGAATCCACATATTAGTGACAGCATGCAGAATTTGTCTGTGTCTGTGTCTGGCTTATTTCATGTAATATAATGACCTCCAGGTCCATCCATGTTGTCACAAAAGACATAATTTCCTTTTTTTAAATGGCTGAATAATATTCCATTGTGTATACACATGACATTTTCTTTACACATCAACAGCCATTTAGGTTGTTTCCATATCTTGGCTATTGTGAATAATGCTGCAATGAACATGGAAGTGCAGACATCTCTTTGGGCTACTGATTTCATACTCTTTGGATATATACCCAGAAACGGGATTGCTGGATGATTTGGTAGTTTTATTAATTTTGAGGAACCTCCATACCATTTTCCATGATAGTTGTACTAATATGCATTCCCACAGTGTACAGGGTTCCACTTTCTCCACATACTTACCAACAGTTATCTTCTGTCCTTTTTTTTAATTTTAAAATTGTGGGGTACAATTCAGGGTTAGGTACACAAATATTCATCATGCAGGTAGCCCTTTTGATAATGGTCATTCTAACTGGAATGAGGTGATATCTCAGTGTGGTTTTAATTTGCATTTCTCTGGTGACAGTCAAGTTGAGCATTTTTTCATATACTAGTTGGCCACTTGCATATCTCCTTTAGAAAAATGTCTATTCAAGTTCTTTGCTCATTTTTAATTGAGTCATTTGGGTTTTTACTATTGAGATGTAGAATATTATTCCTTTATTAGATATATGATTTGCAAATATTTTCTCCCAATCTATAGTTCTGTTGATTACTTCCTTTGCCTACAGAAACTTTTTAACTTTTTTTTTTTTTTGAGTTGGAGTCTCACTCCTTTCCCCAGGCTGAAGTGCAGTAGCACACACGCTCACGGCCACCCTAGCATCAATCTGCTGGGCTCTGGGGATCCTTCTGCCTCAGCCTTCCAAGTAGTCAGAATTACAAACATGCACTACCACATCCGGTTATTCTTTATTTTTATTTTATTTATTTGTTTATTTATTTTTGAGTTGGAGTCTCACTCTATTGCCCAGACTGGAGTGCAGTGGCCGCTCCCGGCCACCGCAGCCTCGACCTGCTGGGCTAGGCGATCCTTCCACCTCAGCCTTCCGAGTAGCTGGAACTACAGGTGCGCGCTGCCACGCCCAGCTGATTTTTTGATTTATTGTAGAGATGAGGTCTCGCTGCCCATGCGGGTCTCGAACCGCGGGCTCAGGCAATCCACTCACCTCAGCCTCCCAAAGGCACGGGATTACAGGCTGAGCCACTGAGCCCGGCTATTTTTTATTTTATAAATAAAAATAACAAAGTCTCACTAAGATGCCTGGGCTAGTCTTGAACTCGCAGGCTCAGGGAATCCACTTGCCTCAGCCTCCCAAAATGCTGGGATTACAGGCTAAGCCACCGAGCCTGGCCAATTATTTAACTTTTAAAATGGTTAAAATAACAGACTGACAGAGTATAAAATGATATTTACTTGTTTTCATCATGTGAACAAACAGGACTTATCTATCCTGGGAATCAGTATGAATGCAGTAACAACTAAAGCAAGAGAGGTTATACCAGAAAACCCCAGGAGACTCCTCAGGCCTCAGGGTCCTAATCTGAAATCAGGAGAGGTAGACTGCATGCACCACAAAGGTCCTCCTAAGTTGCAACCTGATGGCAGCCACTACCAGCTACTGAGGGCTATGCTCTCTCACCCACCTCCAAGGCAGGTGCTACTGTCGTCACCCTTTATAGATGAGGCACAAAGGCTGGGAACGGTCATCGCCCTCATGAGGTTATGCCAAGGCCTATGTCTGAAACATCATTCTATAAAGCTTCTATGTTCGTTGGACTAAAGAAACTCTAAATGAAATCATAAACAAAATACAATAAAGTTAGATTCCTACCCAGTAGCAATAACAGTGTTCTTTGCTCTTATGCGATGTATGGACCCATCTTCTATACACAGGGCAATAACACCACGACACTCCCCGTTTTCCATCAGAAGATCCAAGGCAAAATATTCTACAAAATAGCTGGTATCATATCGCAGAGACTAAAAGAAAGGGGGTGAGTGTTAAGCCAACATTTAAAGTGATATTGTTCATGAGCAGGTTAAAGAACTTGATCCAAATGGACCAGGTAGATCTAAGGAGATCAGCACAGTGCCAGCAATACCATAAGAATACCAGGAGGCACTGTCCACTGAGCAGTATGGACAAGATACACAGGTCAGGAAGGCAGCAGCAACAGCATGCATTCTGGTGACATGCCTCCAATTTCTACACAAGTCACCACCCCAGCTGTCTGGTGGTCACATGCAGCACTGAGCTCCCCAAAGTGGGGTGCCAAAGTGAGAACTATGGACCATGGGGTCATGACCTAGATGAGAGATGCTGGCCATACCTAACCACTTAATCAAAATAAAACATTCAGTTCCTCAGTCAAACCAGCCACATCTGCAGTGGTCATATGTTGGTGGCTGCCAAAGTGGACAGTGCAGACAAGCACATTCCACCATCGCAGAAGGCTGGCACTGGACAGCGTTGCCTGGCCTGCTCTGCTGGCCCCTCCGCCAGTGCCAGCAGGTCTAAGCCTGCCAGCTCCCCACACAAAAGTTCTTCCAATGGACAGCCAGGTGCCATCATACACTTGTCAGTGCACTCAGCCACAGGGAAGCCACTGGTGTCCTAACACTTGACAATTAATGATCTGTCATCATTTATCTGAAAACAGAGTTTAGAATATTGATTATTCTGAATCAAGACTATTCAGAATGTTATTTGGCTAGGACAAAGTTGGCCCTGATTACCCTGTGACTAAGGTCCCTCAGGTCTCTGTCCAATTTTAACAGTTAAGTAATAAATCAAAATCAATTCAGCTTTACAAAACAGACACAAGATATAACACATTGCCTCAGGAACAGCTTTTCACAGCATGTGTTTAACACTTTCATATTAGCAATTACTGTACATGCCTCATCAAGTTGTTCGGTTGCTTTCCAAACCACCCCTGGGATAGCTCACTGCTGCATGCTGACTCATTCCCTGCTGGCGCCGTAAGCCAAACCATACTGTGTGTTCTATCTAATGTGCCCCAAGGCGGCCTCACCCTTCCATACAAGGTGTGCAAAAGTGAGTGGCCGGTCCGATCAGCCACACAGCAGCACCGATGTGCCTGCCCGCCTTTTCCAAACTTGAGGCTCTGTCCGCCAAATGCACGTTGATAAATCTTCCCATCTTCGGTTCTGCTAAAAGGCATGCCATAATTTTCCAGCTATGAAACATAAAAACAAAAACCTATTACCCTAAAGGAGTCATGATACTCATGGCTAATTTATACTCAACAACTTCACACAACTTGCAAACCAAAAATATAGTCTATGAAAATGTCGACACTTCAGAAAAGTTTCCTTGTCACATGTTCTGTATAGTTAATGGCACAGATCAACTCTTCACCATTCTTTTAGCTAGCCATACCTTCTTCAATCTCTTGAAAATTTTTTTCCAGGACTCCTTTTGCCTTAGAAACAGACCCCAAAGCACCCAGAGATTCTCACACATCACCTCAACTACAGCAGCAGGGGCCTGCTCTGTCATGTAGTGAATGGCATCCTGGTCCCCCAGCCAGTCAGAGCCCTTCACGGTGTCGTAGAAATGCCACCTCCAGTTGTCCTCCTCCATGTTTCCCAGGGCAGCATTGATTCCTCCCTAGAAACATCAAACACTCTTTACAAGTGGTAATGGGAGCCCTAACTGCGTCTTCCGGGCCCATCTCCTCCCCAGGACCTGATTCAGATAAAGCCAACTACTTGTGTGGGAGCTCTCAGTGAGGCTGACCTTAGCAAGGTGGGTAGTAAGGGCTGACAGATTCCACACAACTCCTCCCCTGACTAGCCCAGTGATTTAATCCCTTCGCTTCAGTATCCTAAACTCTGAAGTGAAAACAGCGGGAACTCACGGAAGGGCTGGCTGGAGCAGTGAGCAAAAGGCTACATATGACATGCTTATTACTTAACATGCTTGGCACCTTGGGAAAAGGTACTCAGCAAATCCATTCAAATAATTTTATGACAAAACGTTTCCAAGGGTATTTATGGGCATGTGTTAAAGACCAGAAGAGCTTCCTGCCAAGTAATAAACCCCAAACACAGAATCACACTCCCCTACACCCCCACCTCCTTCAGCTGTGTGTGGTGGCCACTACCCTGTCTTACCCTCAGAGTAAGAGTACAGCAGAACAGAGACAAATGAAACACTCACCCTTTTCTTCCTCAACCTAAATCTCAATTCCTCTTTACTCTTTTTCATAAGGCATTGGGGGCGGGTGGCAGGGAGACTAGGCGGGATGGCCCAAGGGCTCACAAGTGGCTCAAGGCTCCAGTCCTGCCAGGCCCTCAGGGAAGAGGCCCAGGCAACCCCAGAGTGAGAGTGAGCAGAGACAGCCAGCACAGCGGGAGGCAACATGGCCGGAATATGGAGACACGGAACAAGGAACATGGCAGGAGGCAGCCTGGGCAGAGCACTGGACTGGGCAGGACTCTGCAGGCAGAAAGGTGTCAGAGAGTGCCTTTCTCTTACCTGCGCTGCGACGGTGTGTGACCTGGTAGGAAACAGCTTTGTAACGCACGCTGTGTTAAAGCCTGCCTCAGAGAGGCCGAACGCAGCTCGCAAGCCGGCCCCTCCAGCACCCACCACCACGGCATCAAATTCATGATCCACTACTGGATACTGAGCAGAAATCTGGAAAAGAAAGATTCACCTGTCAACCACACATGCCCCTGTGCCAACCATGAGGACTGTGGCTGCACAAACAGCCCCGAGGAGATGAAGGGGCAGCTGCCCTGGACACAGGGCCTCCCTCATCCCAGGCTGAGCACTGAAGAGCGCCAGGAGAGGTGGTAGAACGGGACCAACCAACAGATTCCATAAGCGTCAGAGGGTACAATTCACAGGTCCAGGAAACCCAATATTAACCACTAAGGCCCACTCAGTCATTCTATTTACCAAAGCAGGGAACTGAAGAAACAAAAGACGAGCAACAACACGAACCAAAATACTAGTTCTCAACATGTTTTTCTTTCCAAGTGTCATTTTTATCTTCTCTTTTCATGTTTATGACCAAATACATATGTTAAGTGAGTCTAAGCTTATAACTTAGCGTAGATGATGTTTCGCCACCTGCGATCTGCAAGTTTCTCATGAGAATGTTAGAATGTTGTTCCCACTTAGGGAACCATTTCAGCGTTCAGGACCACAACTCTACTTTAGGCCCATACCTATGTTTATGACTGGGAAGGTGCCAAGCAGTATTCAGTAATTATTGTGAACTTACGAGAAAAGAACTTGTAAGTTCCAGTTTTTTCAACAAAGAGAACAGGCACACTAAGTACAAAAGAACCTGCTCCCAAGTGGCTACACAATTCTATTTTGAGTAGGGATTTTATCATCCCTCACAGCAAATACAGTTCACTTGTATTTTATTCATTTGTTGCTTTACTTGATCTAAGTCTCATTTATGGTAAAAAAGCTAAAACGTCAAAATGTATCCTTATATTTGTACAATTTGGTATTATTACACTAAAAACAATTTGAACATTCACTGAATGCCCATATGTCCGGACCATCCGGAGTTAACGGGGTATCTGAAAGAGGGAGTGGAGACTAAAAGGAATACAAGACTCCTTTCTGCTGCAAAGGGAGGGCACCGGGGCTAGTCCCCGAGTGGCACCGTTTCTCTTTATTCCAAAGTTTATATACTAGCACAATATAATCAGGCATTCAGACTTCCCCAATCTTCAACATTAAACTTCCCCTCTATCAAGAAGTGTCTGTACCCAGACTCAGACTATTTTGTCAACATTTCTTTAGTTTTGTCCTTGACCAGCACTTTCTGTACTTTGAAAGACACATACTATTCTTATCTGGACTCTGCTTTTTTAGGTAGACAGTTTCATACTTTAACTATTTAGTCCCCGACACCCATAATTTGTTTTCTCTTTAAATATGTCTATTACTCAAATATATGAAAATGAACTGGTAGAGATAATTACCCCCTAAGCCAAGAAAATCATTCATAATAGAACAGAAACCCGAAAACTTACGGAATCAGAAATTTTAGCAGATGCCCTCTTGTTTCCATCAACAGTGAAGTGAAAACCTCGGGTTCCCGTTTGGAATGCTGCCGGCCCCTGGAGACACAGACAGGTTAGGGTGTTGAAGAAACAGCACACACACTGTGGGAGAACTGTAATAAAAACTTCCCCTTGTAAATTGTTCACCACTTTATGTTCCCAGTGTGGTTCTGTTCATCCAGAAAGTTCACCTGGAACCCTCTGCTGAACCCGGAACAGCAGGCCCAAGGGGCAGGACCCAGCCTTCCAGATCCGCCTCTCTACCCCAGCTTGGCACTCTAGGAAATGCCTTCTGGATAAAGCATGCTTCCCAACAGGACATTCTCTGACTCACATATGAAAGGGGCACACTTTCCCTGTAAAGTCTTAGCTTATGCTATCTAGTGGAGGATGGAAAAAACATCTAGATTACTCCATGTGGTAGTAATGAAGCATTTTAACTGGCTCCATTATAGCCCGTTTAGTAGGCTGGAGCTCCAAACGTCCATGAAGCCTTGTGGTCCACTGAAAAGGCACTAGACCAGGAGATCCACATTCTGGAACAGCAAAAGCCATTAGGCCAAGAGGGATGAGTGTTGGTATCCCTTCATCAGACACAGGAGGATGTTAGCCGCACACTCTCTTTCATGCACCATGTCGTTTCCTCTGCCTGGCTGCCCCGGGTCAGCCTCTACCATTTGCACATCTTGGCTTAAATGTTCCATCCTGACAAGCATTTACCCAAGAAGACAGCTTTTACTGAAATCATGACCAAGTGTGAAAGAGGCCACATTCCCCATATGCTCAAACAGATCATTCTGGAGATATGTTTTCCATTCTGCTGGCTGCATTTTGGAAGCCTACGATAAAATGAAGACTCTAAGAAATATCATACAAAATAGTTTAGGAAACAATATACCCAGCAATCAGAAGAAGGGACATGAAAGATGTCTTCCAGTATCCTGCAATTTGGAAGAGACATTATTTATTTTGTGGGGCAAAAGAAAATTAGTCTGTAGGACAAACAAGTGGGGATTACAGGGAAGAGAATTTGACAAAATACAAAATGAATTCTAAGCTGTTTGAAAATGAGTGGCTTCTCTATAAGGTGAAGGGACTCAGGCCAGGGCTGGATGGCTGGAACTCCTCTGAGATGGGCTCCTACCTTTACGGTTCCCTCTAACTCTGGGACTGAATGATGGCTCACACAAACATCTGAGTTGAAAAGTTCCAATCACAAAGTAGTTTCTTGGATTTTTTTTTTTTTTTTTTTTGAGTCGAAGTCTCCCTCTGTCACCCAGACTGGAGTGCAGTGGCCGCTCCCGGCCACCGCAGCCTCAACCTGCTGGGCTCCAACGATCCTTCCGCCTCAGCCTTTCGAGTAGCCGCTACCATGCCCGGCTAATTTTTTGATTTTTTATTGTAGAGATAAGGTCTCGCCTGCCCAGGCGGGTCTTGAACCCACAGGCTCAGGCAATCCACTCACCTCAGCCTCCCAAAGGCGCGAGATTACAGGCTGAGCCACTGAGCCCGGCTAGTTTCTTGGATTTTTAAGTAGAGTTCAAAAGTGACACTAGGGCAACCTCTTCGGGTCCCCTCTTACCGGGCCTTCGCTCGGTAAGAGCCATCAAATGCTTAAGATGCTTTCTGGTGTTGATGGGACAGCTGCGGGACTAACCGCACACGCAACTCAACATAACTCTTTAATTCGTATATTTCAAAAGGGAAAATTGCACGATTAAAAGCGTAATTCAAGTGAACACCGTTGAACGCCTTGGCTCCCGCTGAAACCTTCGCTTTGTAACTCAACCGTTGGGTGAGTTCATGCAAAAGAACCAACAACTTAACCTCACACATCGGCTTGACTAAACAAAATCCCACGAGGGCGATTCCTAAGACATCATCGCAGCGAGCACATTCAATCGCGTGCGGATCGCCAGGGCTCCGGGAAGCAGGCCCGGCCCTACCCCTCCGCCGGCCGAGGCCGGCCCCGGGGCACCTCCTCGGTCCCTCGCGCTCCCCGCGGCGCACGGAGGCCGGTCTCGGCGTGC